GGGAAACGTAAGTGAGTGCTGCGAGGCCTAAACACACACGCGAGGAAGGTCCATCAATCTGGCCTGGAGTCAATATTGACTCGGCTGGGCCTCGTTGCAAAGAGGGCATCATCGGCACGCATAAAGAGAGGATACGGACGCCCCGGACGACGGTCCCTTTTCGCTCGCAGGACACGCGTGACAAATGCTCCGTGCGCAAACACCGGCGCATCTGTGTCCACAGGATAACCGATTCTCTTCCGAATGGCCTATAAATCCTGGAAGTGCAGTCGCACTGCGGAGGTCCGTCGTTCGTTGCCGATTCGAGACGTACCTCCTCCATTCCGCGTTCTTTACAAGCTTCTCTATCCGACACCCCGTATCGCCCGAAGCATCGTAGATGCTTCGACTGTCGTCAAGCCGGAATGCTCTGGCGTTTATCGAGCTCCGCTGCGTGTGTGTGTGTGTGTGTGTGTGAGAGAGAGAGAGAGAGACGCGATCTCTCGCCGACGCATATCTCCGGGATTTTAACGAGAGAAATTTTTCCTACGCCCTGATAAGCACGCATCAAATCGGAGTTCATTAGAATATCACGGGATCGCGCCCGCGAGATGGTTTTACTCTCTTAAGTCGAAACAGTGAAAAGTCACTAATTGAATCGGTAAAACAGTAATTGTACCGATAATCTGTAAATGTTCATTAATTTTGAGTGGAAACATTTCCACATCATGCTTTTATCCCGTACTTCACTGATTTTGGCCGGTGAAAGATTCAAATCAATGTAAATCACTGTTACGCGTCCCAGCAGAATTATATGTATATATACGGTCAATTATATGCCGTATTTGACGTGGTTCGTACGGTAGATTCAAGAACTAGAGATTTCGAGTTCGAGTCTCATCAAGATAAGCATGTTTTTCAAATATGATAGAAATTAAACAAATTCAACATAATTACAAATGTTTCGTGTAAAATTATTGACAACGCTTTAAGGACGACATTAACATAATAAAAGAGAAGCAATAAACGATATCTTCCTCACTGTTTTTATAGTTAGATCTCTCTGATGGAAACGATCGCCGCTATTCATAGACTTATTTGCAGCGAAATTTCACAGTGATTCGCAGTGCTATACTTATAATTCGATCACTAATGAATACTTTCTAAGTGATAATATACTGATCGCACTTTAGAGAGTAGACAGATAATTTCGGACAGCGCGACTTCGAATATACACTCTCGTTTTGCACATGGAGTTTGCGCAAGTTATCGCTAATGTACATCTATATCGCGAACCGTTGCAGGAAAATAAATATATCGAGACGATTATTGTCGCGTTTGTTATCGCAATAACTCCTCTTCGTCCGGCACTTAGAAAGGGGAGAAAATAGAAAGAGAGTCGTTTCGGTCCCAGAACAGAAATCCCTCGGCAACGCCTCTCTCTCTCTCTCTCTCTCTCTCTTGCGCGAGGAGAATGCGCGCGAGAATGCTCCCACCGTCGCGAGAAACATCTCGGATCGCGTCATTATTTGTTCCTAGGTCGACGAGATCGTTACATCGCGCATACAAATCGGGTCGTAAGATGCGTGTACCAGGTGCTGTCGATGTAGAATGCCGGGTCTACCGGTATCCCTCTCCCACCTCTCCTCTTTCTCTCCCTCTAACTCTCTCTCTTCCTCTCTTTGGACGCCTCGCTACCCGTTTACGACCACTTCATCCGAGATTATCCAGTTTTTCCTTTTCCCAGGCCGGGGATGATCGTTCATCGATCATCCGTCGTCGCTTCGCGGCGGTGCAACGCGATATCGGTTTCTCCCGTTGCGCGCTGATCGTCGTTGCCGATGGTTCGGATCGGCTTTAAATGCAGCCAGAAGTACCTGAACGATGACGTCGTCGTCGTCGGCTCGTCGTGCGCCAGCCTGGATAACTCGCCGCGAACTCCTCGAAGGTGTTATACGACGCTGAGCGTGCACATCGCTCGTTCGCGATGTTCCACGATATCCACGTACATTTCTCGAAGAATTCTCACCTCACCTCCCCTCGCGACATCGTGGGTCGCAGGTAGCTCCCGACGACGACGGCTCGTCGGCTTTATCGCCAACCGGTTTTTATAGTTCGTATCGAATAACGGATGTTCGGGCAGAACTTTACACCGGTTCGAGCGTACGTTATAATAATTATTAAGGGAATAATTATCGCGCGAATTATTCACTCGCGTGTGCCGACGTCGCGACGTCGACGAGAAATTCCGTGGAAATCGACGCGATTACCCCCCTTCCCCCCCTCTCTTTCAATCTTTCTCTTTCTTTCCAGCCGCCGGCTGGAATATCCGCTCTCCCCGCTGAAATATTCGTAAGGCATAAATTCGAACGATACCCGAATGATACTACTTCATTTTTAAATGGCTGGCGTGCGAGGAGTGATAAAGAGTCACGCCGGACGGCACGCGAAACTTCGTATATCAAATGTACAAAAAAAAAGGAAGGCAAAAAGAAGAGAGAAAAAGAGGAGAGAAACGACCAATGTGAGCAACACGACGAAGTCCACGACGTTTTCGCTAATCGTGAGACAGACCGAAAGGCTCTTCGATCTTGATGTCTGCTCTCTCTCTCTCTCTCTCTCTCTCAATCGCAAGAAGGATTAATTAAGCGCTCATGATTGCAACTAGTTCGCGAGCGATTCGCACGGAGAAAAATGTCCACCAACGGAAGCCGAGAAATCGATACACGATTCTCGCCGAAGCGAGTACAAACTGCCGTGTCGCGGTGCAATCGCTAATTCGCGATGCGCACTCTCCTCCTCGCGTGTCCCTTCCGCCGGAGAGCGTTCCGACGAGCGAGTGAGCGAGCAAGAGAGAAAAAGGGAGATAAAGAAAGGGGGAGAGAAATCGCGCTGATGGCAATTAGCGCGCTCGCGAGACAAACGAGGGAGAGAAGAGCTAATGCGTCGATATATCGGCGCGTGTATACGGTGTACGAATAATTATTGCTTTCGTCGCTCGCTACCGACAACGCGAAAGAAGCCTGTCGCGTAATGCTACCTCGAACGCTGCTTTAAAGGCGACTCCGCCGGCGACGAAGCCAGTGGTGCCTGAACGCGCGAAATTTCAACGCCGGCCGATTTGTCCGCGCCTGCGATTCCAACTTCTTCGACGGATCGCAAAACGAATTATCGCACAATTTTCACGCATAAGTACACGCTCGAACAACTATCGCAAAGATCACACTGTTATAAAAATCGTTGTACACTGTAAAGTTACAATGTTCGTTGCACAGCCTGAAGCGATAAAACGACAATTCCGGAGAATATTTTCACTACAACTTGTAAACTTCCCCTCCATTGTGATTCGTGACGTGTGACTTCCTACCGTTTCCTAGAGAGAGGCAGCTGCGAAATTACGCTCGCGAAAGCGTCCTCGGGCACCACTGCGCGACACCTCCTGGAGGTGATATAGTTGCCGCTGGGGGTTACAGCGCGAGCGGCGTGCAACTTCGATGCGATCGCATCGAGTAACTCAGCTCCTCCGCCTCTTCTTCCCGGGGACTAGGACTGAGTTATGACCCGCGGCCGCGGACACTCGCCAACACGCTTCGTCGTTTAACCCTTTGCCCGATCCGCAGTCCCGAAGCGCATTCTTGCCATTGCCGGCTTTTCCCTCGAACGCCTGGAATCTTACGATTTCTGGTAGAGAATGGCCGATGTATGGTTTGCGGCCGGCGAGGGACCGGTTCTCCTTTCGCGCTCGATTCAAACGCGGCTCGAAAGTCGGGCGTATTTTTTTGCTCCTCCCTCCCTCTTCCCGATCTCGCGAGAGTCCTTCGTGAAATTTCACAACTGTCGCGCGGCCCGCTACGATGTTACGCATCGAGGTGGCAGCCTGTCTGCGGACAAGCGGAAAAACGATAACCGGAAGTGTCATGCGCATTAGCTTTATCGCCGATCGAGAAACATGACTACTATGAGCTCTCTCGATCGAAAACGTTGCACGGGGACACCGTTATTTGCACCGCCGTGCCACACGCCATCAGCGACAGTTGGCCCTGGAAACATCGACGAGACAACGACGACGACGACGACGATGCGACGAGGACATTAACGCGACTCTCTCGATATCCCGATGCCATAATGCGCGCCGCGCATGGGTTTTTCGCCCCGGCACAATACGTCCGGGGGTTCCGGACAATATGTTTGGGGCCACCGAAACGAGGCAATGGATGGATGGGTGGTCGGGACAATCGCGGGGAACGGTCTTTCTCTCTCTCTCTCTCTCTCCCGCTTCTCTCGTGGCGGGGATGTTCCACGGGGGTTTGTTTAGGTCCCAGGCGCGAAAGGCACTCAACCCGCTAATCTATTTAGCCGTAGTGTTTGATATGGAATTAATGAGGCCCGGCAAAGGCATTATGTCCACGGGGCCCGGCAGACTATCGGTTCAGCCGTGGAAAGAAAGGAGGGAGGAGAGAGGTCTGTTGTGGAGTCTCGCCGAGACGTATGCCTTTTTAGAGTATCGTGGAACGCGTGACGGGGTCTGTTTCTCTCTCTCTCTTTCTCTCCTCGTTTGCGTGATCCGGCAGCTGCCTATCCGAGGTAACGCCTCGTCGACACTTCAGGATCCCGATATAGCGCATACGAGGTTTCCAACCCTTAACGAGACGCGCCCAATTCCCAATAGTAGTATTCCGTGTTCGCTTTGCACCGAGACCGCTCGTCTCGTCGCGTGCACGGTCTTCGGAGCGAGAAAAAAATCCAGAACAATCGCGCGTACGGCGAAAGAGCAAGGGGAAATAATTAGTAGAAGGTGCTGAGATGTGGCTGCGACAGTTGACACGCCTCTTTGACAGGGAAGGCCATTGAGGTTCAATTTACTAACTTTTTCGCTAAAATCGAACCAACCACCGAGATTCTATTGATAGTCAGCAAGGTATTATTTCGCGCGCAAACGCAGCTCGACTCGCTCGAGCATATTTTTAATTAACAAATATACATCGAAGCTATTACGAGCCGGCATTTGTGAATTGTTGCAGTGTCCTGTGACAGTGAGCTCGTCGTTGGCGCCGTCCTCGGCCTCCCCGGCAACCGGCGCGATACTGAGCGCTGGGGGTTCGTCCCTGGTCGGCGCAACCGGTACGACGACGAATCATCCCCTGGACGTAGCCGGCCTGTCGAACGCGAGGATGGCGGTGACTAGTGCGGTGGTGCGACCACCGGGTAGTCCCACTACCTCGGTCAGCCCGTCTCAGGGTCATCCGCCGCCATCGGCCGGCGGCCCGGCAGCGGCCAGGTGCTGCGACACCGGCCGGCCGATCTTCACGGACCCGTTGACGGGCCAGACCGTCTGCTCCTGCCAGTACGAGCTGCTGGGTAGCTACCAGCGTCTAGGAGGGCTACCCACCGCGGCTCTCTCCATGTACAGCGCGCCTTACGCCGCTGCCGCGGCGGCCGCGGCGTCCGAGGGCATGGCCGCGTACTTCCCCAGTTTGGGCGCCGAGCAAGCACCCTTCTACACGCCCACGGTGAGTAATCGTTGTGCCCGACTGATTGTTTCTTAATCGCACGTACATATCGCACGCGAAAAACGGATCGGTCGATTTGGAGAATCTACGTTCGCCCGCAGGACCAAATTATTTGCAGCGTGGGAATTATGTCGTCCTCCGGCCGCGGTGTCTCAATCGCAATGCGATGATAAATTCTCTCGAGACGGTGACTCGTCGCGAATCGACGGTAACGGTATATTTTGGCGGAACACAGTACGCGTTGGAAATACGGAGCGGCGTGTGTGCGCGCGCGCTCGTGTATGTTTGCACGCTCGCACGGTTTTCGGAATTTTTGCCGCGGTACAGGGAATGCGGAGGCGGTGGAGTGGTCGTATCGACCAGTCCGAGGGAGAGATAATATCGGTGCACGACTAAAATAATACGCGAAACAAAAGATACCGCGGAATTTTCACGATACCGTCCGCGATAACACCATCCGAAAATTTTGAGTTCCGTACTAGAGCCGAATCGACGTTACTGACTTTATTAACGTAGTTTCTGACCAACAAGATCACCGTTAGCGAATATATTTCACGATACGCTGCGCTTTATCGTGTAACTCTCGTCCCGTACGCTCGCTCGGCCTCCCCTTATACACATAGCGCATTCGCGAGCCGAAATAACGATACGACGATGTCGGTCACGATTGCGTAATCAAAAACTTTATTCAACATATTTATATAATTCACCGCAACGCACGCGCGTGCGTGTAAAATTCACTTTATAAGATTATTACCTGTTTCTCCTCGTAGACAGCACACCGCACAATAACGGACTAATTACGCGCTCACGCACACCGAAGGACGCGTAATTAATAGTTCGGCTGTTACCGAAGTGTTCGTAACGACGCGGCCTCAATTTAGACACCCGGAAGTGAATATCGATAAACGGCCGGCAATATCGATAAACGCCCGGCACGAGCTGTCGACACAGAACGGTGTGACGTTATATTCTCTCGTAAAATTTTTATCACGCGGATTAAATCCCGATATCGGCGTAAGTGGAAGGGGCGGCTTCTATATTCACAACTTATCCGAACGTTGCTGGCCAAGTGACGTGTTTATTTAGCGGATTAACGAAATTTCGTAAATCTGGCCGCGACTCGCCGAGAACTGAACGAAAACGCGCCGGTGTACCTCCTCTTTTCGACCTTCCACCACTCCAGGCGACGACACGCGATTCGCGATGTCGAGATACCGTTTCGTGCTTCTCGTGCGATATTAGCGTATATTAGAATTAGATTTCGGAGGGAGCGTCGTTAGCGCGTCAACGTAGCCGCTCCTCCGTCGAGCGAGCGTTTATCGGACCGCACGTGAAGCGTACACCAGGGGAGAGAATAGCGCGGCGAAGCGTAAATTTATGAATCCGTTCCGCCGTAACAGTGGGACACTGTCGTGTATTGCCGAGCCGTCGCCGCCGCTAAGACCGAGCTGTTATCGTCGCTCTTTATGATCGAGCTTAAGGGGCGAGTATATAACGTAGCCCGCTCGTAACGAGACACAGCACATCGTACAGGTTACGCATCGAGTTCCTCGCGGGGGCCGCGTGACGACGATATCCCTGATATCTCACCCCCGTATATATAAAGTCGTCAAGTATCGCTTTTTAGTGAGAACGATTATTTCCACCCCCATGCGCGCCCCCGTTCCCTCGGCATTTACGCCGTTCCTCGTAATTATTCCGGCCGGTGCTGCTCTTCGCGTGAATTTACATCGCTCTCGATTCGCCCGTCATTACCGCCGTCTCGGATAAATAGATACGGGGGGGGGGNGAGAATATCACACTTACGTCAATCGTATTTTTTGTTTCACTCGCTGTGTCCCGATAGAAATTCAGATATCTAATTGCGTCATTAATTAATGTAAGTACATAATATCAGATTACTATTTTTATCGTTTATATGCGTAATTATATGCGATTTATATTTGTAATTATATGTGAGAGAGAGACAGAGATATGGAGGGAGAGAATGAGTGGGAGCCTTTTATGGACCCATTATATCGCTAGATAAAATACGGTAGAAGTTTAATAGCGACCATTCTGTCGTATAACCGAGGTCGCGGGTTAGAGAAGCAAACAAGAGAGCCACACACATCGATCCTAATTATTATTATCAGCGCTTTGCCAGCTATTCTTTCATCACGGTCGATGCATCGGAGCGATCGGGCCGAACCCGCTGCGCGATACGGGCTAATTGCGACGTTCGTTCTCTAAAAATGGATCTTTCGACCAATTAACCGCATTCTGCGCGATTTCATTTAAAAAGCGCGATAATGAGTAACTGGGTTCTCTCTTTCTCTCTACGTATGGAGTATAGAATAAGAGCTCTCTCTCTCTCTCTCTCTCTCTCTCTCTCTCGTTGCTCATATCCGCCCGTTCGCTTGCGAACGCGGAAAAAATCCGCGCGGGCGCGTGCAGATCTCTTCTCTCCGGCTGCAATCGGCATCGTCGTTCACATCACCGTCGCTTAAAACGACTGTGAAAATTATCGGCAGCAACCGCTAATGGTTCCACACACATACGCGATATTAATAGCCCACTCCTACGCTCCTGAGAAAACCGAACGCGCATAAAATCGTGCGGAACTTTATCGAGATAAAATGTCGCGACATATACGATCCTCGCGTTCTTACACACATACACACACGACGGATTAACGCGCGCAAAAACTGTAAAAGGTAGTAATTTGTTTGGCGACCGATCCGCTGATGCGCTTAACTGTTCTCCCCGGCGTTTTAACGTTGTATATATCGCTGTAATTGCATGAGTGATTCGCGCTATATAATCGAGGCCGCTAATTGATCGATTACCGTCTTTCATCTCGTCTTCCTCCATCGCAACTCCTACCCTATTATCTCGCTGGCCATCGCTGGAAATCATCATTCCGCTACTATGTAGCACCGAACGCACCGTATAAAGCAAACACTGATACATCTTCCTACATCCGAGTCTGTAACTCGAACTCGATTCGGAGAAAAAACGCGTACTTCGAGTTGACTCGGTGGGACAATGAAGTCATCGACGTATCTTCGGGATGTCATTGCATCGATTAAAGCAGGTGATAATCTGTAGGGTCCGCGGAATAAATCAGGTGCGCCGAGAATCTACTTCCACATGCATCCGTGATCGTTTCGTTCATCGTCGACAAGGTCTAGCCTCGTCACGTAACGAAATAACGGGTCGGTCTCTTCACGGTTTTCTTTTTGACTACGAGAGCGCTGGAGAGAATGAAAAAGAAGCTAGGTGGAATTAAAAGGAGGAAAAGAGAAAAAGAGGAGGAAAAGGAATGCCGCGCTTAAATTTCAGGGGGAGAAATTTTCGCGCGCACACTAATCACGTATGTTGTTGCAGGCTGCTGGTCTGGATCTCAAGGAAAATCTGGGAGCTGGAGCGGCGGCGGCGTGGCCTTACCCGTCGGTGTACCACCCTTACGACGCTGCTTTCGCGAGTTACCCTTTCAACGGGTAAGTCCTGCAAACGTTCTTCATCCGTCGTTCGTTCGTACACGCGTGTCGTAAGAATTTCGCGCGATGATGCGATCGTTTAGTATATCGGCGGTGAACGCGAGTCCGCAAGCAGTAATATCGAAACGGACAGCTAATTAGATAACGAGTCGCGTCTCGATGTAAAAACAAGACGTTGTTCTCCCATTCTTTTTTTCCCTTTCCGTTCATTTATCTCAAAGAGAACCGTATCATCGTCTAACGTCGACGATATCAGGAGAGCCTATTTGTACGGAGGGTGAAAGCGCTCCGAGCCAAGCGGTAGGCATCACGCTATATTAACTTACGTAAGCAGAAAAAAAACTCCAAGTGAGAGAGAGGGAGGGAGAGGGAAAGAGAGAAAGATCCTCGCGGAAGATATCCTCGCGCTTGAGAGTGAGTTTGCGGTATAATTTTATTTATCCTCCGTGAATCTACGGGAAGACGCGATAACCGTTTCAACGTCCGGCGAAACAATACTGCACGAGAGGCAAGAGAAAGAGAGAAAAAGTGAGACAGACACAGAGAGAGAGAGAGAGAGAGAGAACCGTATTACTCGTGGAGGCGCGAGATCGTTCGAACTCGAAAGAATCTTAATTACCATCCGCCCACTCTCCTTCGTCCCAATCCCCCGATCACGCCATGACGCCTTTGTATATTTTTAAACGTCGTCGCGCTTTAATACCTCCTCCCCTCCCCCTGCACTTTCTGCATCGCCTCGCGAGGGAGAGACGCGCAGTCAGGTTGTACGTGATTTCTCTGCGCTCGTGGTGCGATACGCTCGTGCACAGATAAGACGGCGAGAGAAACACATAAACATTCCAATAAATTAGCGCTCAGCTGACCCGAGACTGTCGCCTCGGCGTTTTTTCCCCCGCGCAGCCGGGGATCGTCTGCGCTGCGTGACGCGACGCGGCGAAAGGTCTCGTTGATAAATCCCTATCGAGTCCGGCCCGAAGATCAAAATTCGGTGTGTCTCGCGTGGCGAGGGCGAACGAAGCGAAACGCCGAACGATCGGCGCACGGGTCACTCGACAGTCAATGTCGATCGTTCAGTCGCGTTTTCGCGATCTTGTTTGTCATAAAACCGACCAGAATCGAATTATGTCTAATACACAGGAAAAAGTACTAGAGAGATTCAAGTTAAATAATTATATCGATACTCTTTCAGCAAACCTTCACAAGTAAAACACTTTGCAATCAAAATAGTAAAATATACGTATTCATTAGATCCAAGTAAAAATCTGCTAAGGAGTATCCCATTCACTTGAATCCAGCACTTTTTTTTTTCTGTATAGTCGGTCACCAGATTTTCCTTCCTTCGAGACCTTCGGAAACCTCAACGGCTAATTTCGCGGATCTCGCCGTCGAAAACAACGATGGAGTTCTCGATGCACGCAGCTGGGGCTGCCTGCCGACGATACATCGCGCGAATCGCCATCGGGTATCGATTATTCCGTGCATACTTGTTGTTCGCCGTGCGACGGGCAATGTCAATATTACAGTTCTTCCCCAGTATCGTAGGAAACACACAGCCGCAGCGCATCCCACGTAGCGGCGTTCGAGATTTTAATAACGCGTCGCGCCGAGCGTTGTACTCTCCCTCTCTCTCTCTTTCTCGGCTTGATGAGTACAGCCGACAGGCATTTATCTCCCGCACTAATACTTAGCGACGAACCGCGACGCGTGTCAACAAGTTGATAAAGATTCAATTCGTGGCGTTCTTTACGTCAAAGTCAGGGAGAGGGAGGGGGCCGATCGAGACGCTCGATAAACTTTTCACAGTCGCGCGTGCTCCACGGCAAAAATAAATAATATATAGCGGATGCTTGGTCACGTAGACCGACCGATGGGCAACGTTCGTTCTTTCGTTCGCTCGCTAGCTCGCCAGTTCGCCTCTAAAAGGCGAAGCGGAGTCGACTCCTCGCGCTCGACCACGACAGCGTGATCGACGCGTGGAATCTATACTGTCCGCGTGACGCACTTCCGCCGGAGACTGTTTCGTATGCAAGGAAACGATCGGGTAATACAGCTTGCTTAGCATCCATTCGCTCTGGTCGCTCGGGCGACCGGGTTCCTCCTTTGCCGGGACCTACCACGCCGGCAGGCCCGTCCACTGGATCCGCCGGAACCTCTACACGCGCTGGTAACCAGCGATAAAGACGCGTGCGGCAGATCGCGCCTGTGCCCACCGAGTGTCCTCCCGCTGCTCGACGAGCACGCAGAGGAGTTCGACGATCCGACGAAGTGCACGAGAGGCTGATTAATTGGCAACGAAGATCAGCCGTTTCAACATAAACTTCATTATTTTAACGAGAGAATCGTCCGGCTTGGTCCTTCGCGAAGAGCGACTTCGTGCGAAAAGACGAGTAGCTTTCATCCAAGCTCTCCGAATAAAACCTTGCCGAAGTGAAATGTCCCACCTGTCATCTTTAATCGCGCACGGATCATGTGTTTTCCGTGGATTGGCTAATAGCCGCTATTGATCGCTCGTTTGGCCGGCGCGTCTCGACACCCGCGGAGTTTCGCGAGCGTCAGCGGCACGCCCCGTTCTCGCGTTTCTCATTCCGCGGACGAGGTGAACGATTCCGCGCGACGAACCAGAGGAAGAAAGCCACCTTTGATCCTGTCGAACGACATTAATAATAATAATAATAAACGATCGGGAAGAGCGGCCGCGATCGCGCGCTAATCGTACTCATAATACGTCTCAGTTGAAATGCGCTCGCGCGCGTTATCACTCACCGAAAATAGCGTGTGATTATTCACTTGTTATCGATGCAACTCATCGTGGCGAGAAAACACAACGTTACATCTTAGGAGTTGTCGCGCCGCTCTTGCGGCGGGAACAGGAATTTCCTCTTGAATTCAATTACTAACGCATTCTATTTGCGACCGCGCGTTCCTCACTGATTTCGCCGCGTGCGCGTTATCGCGCGTATCATGCGTGTGATTGTCTCACCTCGCGACGCCTTCCTCGCCGAGCACGACTTTCTCTCATGCGTTTCGAAAAGAGCAAGAGGAAGCAGCCTATCGCCGTTGTACGTTGAAAAAACGGTACTACGTTCGAGCAAATAATCGCCAAGGAATATCGGGGTAATTTTACTTGCACCGAGCAAACATTTTACCCGAATGTAGCAGAGTGAAAGAAAAAAAAAAAAAACGTACTACGTTGAAGTAAAACTCCACTCAACCCAAGTAAAATAATTATTCGGACACTCGTTATGCAAATATTTACTCGAATGTAGCACCTTCTCCATAGCCCGACGGCTGATTCTGACTCACGTTTCGACGAAGCGAAAGCGCGAAGTCGCGCGTCGATTGCGCGATTACGCTTATCCGAGGCGGCGAAGGAGAGCCCCGACAGGCCGCTGCTCCCTGGATGGAAGCACGCGACCGGCCGGCAAGGATCCCGCTGATACCCCCGCCCGGAACTATCCGCTTAAATCGGAACCCGGAGGTGCAAAGGATCCAAGGGCATTATGCGCGAGCGTGCGCGACGACTACTTAGCATGAGCATACAAAAAGCCAATAATGCAGCGTTGGCATGCACGGGCGCGAGGTCTCGGGATCGTGCGGGTTAACGGTCCCGTCTTTCCGGCGGATTGGCCCTGCTTCCGGAGACATATAGGGTAGACAATGAGAAAGCAGCAGCAGCCGGTGACGAGCGGTGTTCGGCGGCTGGCCTCTCGGCGGCGGCGGTGCCAACGTCGGCTTGCGTACGTCCGGCATCCGCGTGCGAGCGAGCGGCGTGTTACCGAGTGCGCGTGTACGACGACACCGGCGAGTGTCGGCACGCGCTCGGAGTCCCGAACGAGCCGACGATCGCCGGCTACGACGGCGCGTGAATCTCAATGTCGTACGAATCCAATATCGCGGACGAGACTCCTCCATGAGGAACCGTTCGTTCAAACGCGCGAAATCAATCGTGAACAACGCGCGAGAAAGAAGCGCAGATCTTTCGGAATTTATCCGTCGGCGACCGGGTTGACTCGATTAACACGCCGACTGTCGTAACAATTTTTATTGGCTTAATTAATGATTAAATTACCGGAGTTGTGTATGTATCTTTCATCCCGTACCGTCTTGGCCTTCCATCGGCCGCACGATCGACTTCTCGAATGCAATTAATTATACCTTACATGCAATTTAATTAGACACGACAATATCAGTGCTCATCGCGATATTCAATAAATCAGCACGTCGACAGAATTCGAATTTCGTTAGTTATGCAAAAGTTGAGCGGATGATTAAACAATCCGAGATGTATAATGAATAAGCGTCAAACCGGCTCCACACGATGTGGCGAGTGTAAGCGAACGTTGGCAATTATATCGGTCACGGTATGTTGGGCGAATGTAACATAATATAGCGTAACATAAATAACATAATACAACATACACGATCAATATAATTGCCGACGTTCATCTACTTTTGCCATATCGTGTGATGTCGGCGTAATTCGAAATACACATATTTTTTACTTTGCCCCGTCGGCTCTCTCCACCGCCATGTCGCCGATTTTTCAAACGCAAATTAATGAATTATACTTCACACGTGACTTGATGACGGTATCGTAATGCCAGTCACCGGCAACCATCACAGCAGGTTAATCGGCCGCAGATCGACTTATCATCGTGCCGAGCTGACCGTTACTCGAGCGAATTATAGCGGAATAACGAGTCCGCGGATTACGTGACGCCGTGATCTCGCGCGACACGCGTGCACAGCTGCCTCCGCGAAGACGATCCCGAGGGAACCGAATGTTTGACGTTTTCGCGACCGAATATCATCGTCGGCGAAGACCGGTTTTGCGCGTTATTTGAAAATTAGAGCCTCAACGGCAACAGAGCGACCCGCCACCCCATTCGCCGCCGATAGGGACTCGAAATATTCGCGGCTAATGAGACGAGGCGGGGCTGATATCCGCACCCTTCGGCGCCCCGCCCGTGAGATACGTCTCGCGTGGATGATGTACGGCC